TGGTGTGCACCCTGTTACAATGGATCCTCCAATGATCATGTTGATCACCCTACAAATCAGTCCTTTTTTTGGTAGCAGGCGAGGTGGCTGCTCGTTCTACCTGCTGCTTTCTGGGGCATCTTTTTTTTTGATCTCCCTGTCGATCCCCTTGTCCTTTCTCCTCGTGCAAAATGTATTTCTTCAAGTACCCACGGTAGATGAGTTCCTCGATCTCGTCACAGAGGTTTATGTAATTCTCCATGTTGTGACCATGGTCCTGATGAAAGTGATAATAAACATTTGGGTTTCTGGTCATTGGGTCTCCTCGTAGCCTAGGTGGCCATTTGACAATGGAGGAGTCTTTAATGGCCATCAAGATCTCTCCTCGTTTCGGGTTAAGGGGAGTATAGTTGGTTCTCTCCTTTAGCAGGGTCCTGAAACACCAACCCAACCTGTAACTTCGTGAGGGGGACTTACTCCTCGAGCTTGGGGACTTGCTTATTCGCCTCAGGGAGTTGCTCTTTTTTGTTTTCTACATGTTGCTCGTTCCCTCTCCCTCTCTCTTTCTCTTTCACCTTGTTGGTTGTCGATCTTTTGGTTTATTTCCTCTTCTTTACTAGTGAACTGATCGGCCAGCCTGAGGAAGTCAGTGATGTTCTTCGGCTTGTTTGCCACGACATGCCACTTGAACTCCTTATGAGTAATCCCTTTATGTGTTGTGGTGAGGCGTATCGCCGGATCAAGGCCTAGTATTTGCAGGCACGTTTCGTTAAAGCGCTTGATATAGCTTCGAATTGATTCTCCTTCCCTTTGCACCATGTTCAGAAGGCTCTCCTACAAATTCAGCCACTTTTTATTGGTGATGAAATGGGTTGTAAACATATCCGCAAAACTACGCCCAACTTCTGGTGGAACCCGACGTGAGGTTTCTATGCTAGGTCCAAACTACTCCTTTGAATGTGGTGGAGAAAGCCACGCACATGCAAGCCTCATCGGCCCCAGTGAGATGCATCTGAGGCTGCAATGCGCCTACATGATCGTTGTGGTCAAAAGACCCATCATACTTGTCTAGTGATGGTACCTTGAAATCTTTCAGCATTGGAGCCGCTAGGAGCTCGGATGACAAGGGGGATGGCCGGCTCAACAGAGCAGGCGCCGTTCTCGTGGCCACCAAGCTTACCTCCTCTCTTTCTCGACCTTGATACTGGATGGCTGGGCTTCACTGGCGGGCTATTCTTTGTTGAGGAATGGCGAGTCTTGCAATGTCACCGCTGCTGCTTCTTTGGTGGTGCGGTGTTTGTATTGCCAGCCTTAGTGTTGTCGGGTATCTTGATCTTGCTTCGAATGGTGGGGCGAGGTGGTTCAGGGGTTCTTCTCGCCGCTTCTTCTTCGCTGCAAGTCCGGTAATGGCTGTCGCAGGGAACCAAGGGGTCTCTTCTTGAGCTTGCGCTTCGGGCCCCAAGCTGACGATCTACATCATCTTGGTGTGGAAATTGCCGATAGTGCCTCTCAGGCTAGCTAAGTTCGGGCCTATCCTTCGAGTTCTCTCTTCTAGAGGTCGGAGGAGTACGCTGATCACCTGCTATACCCCATGGTGGGGTCCGTCCCGAGGGAGGGACCGGTACTTGCGAAGTTCTCTCACTGTGGAGTGGAGACTGGCGGACGTTCCAATGAACCCAATGCTGATTTTGGTTCTAAGCCTACCCTTGATGTTGATTTGTCGGCTAGTTCGATTGTAGCAGTGGGAACTATTGCTGGTACTGTTGGTAGAAATAGTACTGCTGAAACTTTTGGAATTGGTGGATCTGATGCATTTGAATATGCATCATCTGGACGCTCTAGACGAGGTTGTTAAACTGGGAGTGCTCGACCCCAGTGAGAATCACAGAAGGCTCTGAGAATGTGGTGTTCACTTGGGGGAGCGAGACACTCACATGTTGGGTAGTGTGTGGCACGGATAGTGATGGAACCCCGGAGACAGTTAGGGGATGGTGAACTGGCCGATGGTCACTGAGGAACCCTGGGGAGTGACTGCTTGTTGCTCTTGCCCCCTAGTGATGTTCATGTCACTTTTTCCGTTGTGGCTGGAATATGCCATTGAGGTTGAGATTGGGATTGAGATTGTGACTAGGATTGGGAGGACCTTTCAATCGTTCCCACAAACGACACTAATTGATGATGTGCGATCTAGAAGCTCCTAGCTGGAAGGTTGCCTAGACGTTGCTCGCATGGCGAGCTGGGTCAAATTGCAAAACAGAGATCAGAGAAACTGGGGCGGGTGGCCCAGTGAGGTCGCTCCGATGCTTAAGTTAGTATTCTTGCTGTGGTTACAAGCCAAAAATTTGAATGCTAGAGAGCTTGTATGTAAATAATCGCGCGTACTTGGGCCCTGAAGGGGTTAATGCCCTTATATAGTTGAGTTGCCGTGGATCTAACGAAACGATTCCAGGATCTTCAGCTTGGGTAGATGAGATCTGTTTCCGCTTTAGATGGGGAGTAACGTATCAGTCAATTAAGTCTATCATTACCGCTCGATCCGGGCGGGTAGAGTATAAGGCTTGCCATTACGCAGTGTGATTTCGGGAGGTTCAGAATCCGCCGAGAAGCTTTTGGAGTCGATTACTTGTCACTTCGGTTCTTGGGATCTGAACTGGCTTTGGTGCCGAGGTGCCTCTATACCGAGGTGACTTTATGCCGAGATGGCTTTGTACCGAGGTGACCGAACACCCGAGCTCTGAAATCTACTAACTAGGCTCCTCTTGACGAGTTGTTATCCTACTAGCAAATCACGTCCACGTGACCTTTGCTTACTAGGTCGTGCCAAATTACCCCTCATCATATATATATATATTATTTTTTATAATATATAGTATATTCTTATATCAATAGAACATAAAAATATATTTCTATGTATAAAATATAAAATAAATTTTATAATATTCTTTATAATATAATATATGATATTTTTTATAACATATAGTTTATATTTTTGGGAGAATGACCGATACCCCCAGTGTCAGAATTTGTAGGTTCAATGTACGGTCGGGGTAGGTGCTAGCTCGAAATTGATGCCAATTCACGGGCGGGCATGGGTGCATAAAGTGTGGGTATCGGTCCATTTGAATGTTTATAGCCTTGCAGTGTAAGTCGGGAATCTGCATTGGGCAAATCCGTACTTTTTTGTATACTTTTATGTATGTATGTGTTAATCAAGCTAAGCTGGCAAACTTTTCAAACCAAACTTTTTATTGGTCAAGCTTGATCTCAAATAACTAATCGAGCTCACCCCAAGGTTCAAATTCGACTCGAGCTTAGTTAGAATCGAACTCGAATTGAGCCTAATCGAATTTGAGCACAAACTATTAGACTAGAGTTCGATTCGATTGCAATCCTATGTAGCATGTCGATAAATCTGATTTCGAATTTGAGAATCGACATAATTGAATCAAATTCAGATAATTTGAATATTTAATCAGTTGAATTTGGATATCCTATTTATATTGAATAGTTAATTAGATTCGAATTCGGATATGACCTGATCCGATTCGATAAATATTTGAATTTGACTAATTACTTAGTTCTTATATATAATATATAAAATATTTTATATTTTATATAAAATATATAATAATTAAATTATATAAATAATTTATATATTTATATACTTTATTAAATAAATATTTATTTATTATCTAAAATAATTAATTCATCAAATTTAATTTGAATATTTAAATATTTAATTAAATTCAAATATTAATTTTCAATATCCGCTGAATATCAAATCAAATTCAGATATTAGATTTTCTAATCGGATCCAAATTTAGATATTAGATTTTCTAATCGGATCCAAATTTAGATATTGTTTGATTCGACTCGAATTGGATGCATTTACACCGTGGTCACTAGGCATATGGGCCCTGTAACTTTATTTCTGTTTCTAATCTATCTATTAGAGATGACCAATTATCGCAACACAATTATTGGATTATTGGTTTCTTCTCGCGTTAGATGTTCTGAATGCACGCTGAGATGTGCATGTGGGGCGTTTTTAGGGCGCGTTCTGTGTGGAGATGTGAATTCGAGTAAGGATGCGACGAGAGAGGAACAAAAAGGGTAAAATGGTCAAATTATAAAAGAATAGAATAACTGAACAAGGATGTCCTGATTCCAGTCGTTTTTCAAGAATTCCGCGTTCGTTGCCTCGTTGATATCTTTACTCCCTCTCTCTCTCTCTCTCTAAAAAAGCTGAGGAGGAGTTTGTTCGAAGACCCAAAAGGCCAAAATACACCAACTATGAATTATATTTGGCGCGAAAAGCATTTGTACAGCGGTTACAATGATCCCTTCACCCTTGCGAGCTTTAAGCTTTTATTGATCCTCAACCTAGAAACACGGAAAGAAAACCCAGGAAAAAACCATTTTGGTTCTCTTTCAACAGTCTAACATTTTCGCAATTTCAAGGCCGATTACAGGTAGCTAGTCCTGACAAATTTATGATCTTTAATGGGTTCTGCTTTTCTTCTCTATCTACATTTACGGTCTGACATTTGATTTAAAGTTGAAGTCCTTCATTGCTCATTTTTATGGAGATGCAAAGTTGCTCTATTTTGTTTTTCCCTTGATGTCGGGAATCTTCAGATCGATACCCAAGTAGGATTTTGTTCAGAATTGCAGGAATTTGCAGCTTTCTCATTCTGGAAATTATATTTTGGTTGAATCAATTCGTGTGGTAATACTATTGTCAGAAATGTCCTGTTTGATTGAAAAATAAATACCCCTTGTTTTTTTTATGACGTGGATAAAGCGAAAGACACAATGTGTTTTTCATAGTTAGGAAATATGTGTTCAAATAAATAGAAATTTTCATCTGCCCCCGCCGGCCCGCCCCCAACAAAACAAAGCAAAACTTCTGATGGGCGTCTCTTTAAATTCTAGAAAAGTACAGCAAAAGGAACTCAGAAACTTTTTTTTTTTTTTTTCTTTCAGTATTGACGTTCAAACCATTGCCATCTTATTTTTGTTTTGCCTCAGGCAGTTTCATTCTCAACAACTACTACTATATATTATTATTGTTGTTATTCTTGGTGCCTATCAGTGTAGAACTGTAGATTAAGAATCCGACATTTTAACCGGCAAAGAAAAAGACATGTGATTTTTCGATGAGACTCCTGCAAATAGACATAAACGATGAAGGAATAAGGTACAAATAACATATTAGATAACATCTTACCATCAATGATTTGTATGAGTTAAAGTGATTGTGAAAAAAAATCTCTTTACTTGAACTTAGGCTATTTGATAATATGCCTGTGAGATAGATCTTTACCTTTGTTTTCTGAATAAGATAGTAATGTAATGCCTTTTCTTCCTTTTTATCTAATGAAGAATAGTTATGGAGACATGAAACCTATAAGCCATGTTTTCCAGTTCTTGATTTTCCATGATAAGGGGGAACGCTAGGTTAATACAAAACTCTATGGTAGTTGGCTATCATATGAAGAGTCATCACAATATGAAGATGGTAAACATAATCTTAGATTATAACCATAATCTTACTTCATGAATCAGCAGGCATTATATACAGAATTTCATGAACAATGTGACCTCTACTGCTTTGTTACTTTGAAATCTTTTTTATTTCAGATGCTAGTATTTTATTACTTTTACCATTATAGATGGAGGCACGAAGTGGTTAATTGGTGACAAGAAGTTGGTGTAGTATGTTTGGTTCAATAGGTTTGCCCACCACGCTCCTTCCTTAAAGATAAATGATTAGTAAAACATGAGAGACCCTATTGACTTCTGGTGCTGCATATCTGGCTGCTTTCCCTGAGAAGTGGTTAATTTCCTGTAGATGGATGGGTGAAGTATTTAATTGATAACAAGTTGGGATAGTATGCTTGATTCAATAGGTTTGCCTATATGGCCTGTGCCTTCAAGATTAATGATTAGTAAAGCGTGAGACCACATTGACTCTGGTGTTACATATCTGGCTGATTTCCTTGAGAAAGTTGTTCATGTGATGGAGGCCCATCCCAAGGCCCATCTCACCCCTAGGGGCGGCAGCTCCTAGGATAAGGACAAGAGTCCAAGATAAGTCAAGAAAGGATAATTCAAGACTTAATCCAAGACTCCAAGACTTATCAAGAATCCAAGATTATCAAGACTCTTCCAAGATTAGCAAGAATTCAAGACTTCAATCAAGATCCAACAAAGACTCCAAGAAGCATCAAGAAATCCAAGACTCCCAGATTCATGCATAAGGAGAGCCAAGGAGATCGGACGGTGGAAGGTCAAGCCCAAGAATTCCAAGAGGGTTCGACCTTATCAATACAACCCAAGAGATCGAGATCAAGATCAAGATTCATGTTCTTTCCTAGTTCTTTTACAATTTCTAAATGTATTATAAATACTGCTATTTCCCAGAATTATTCATCAATTCATACTTCAGATTTTTAGAATTTCTTCAAGTTCTCTTCTTTGAGTTTTCGCCACCTTTTCTCTCTCCTAGAGAATTCGGTGTTCTTCGCTAGAAGCTAGCGATTGCCCGGTGCTTGCATAGCCAGCTCCGGTTTCCATTGCTTCCACGCTGTGTCAGGTGGTATCAGAGCAGGGAGTTCGCCCAGTCAGATGGCCAACCAAGACGGTAGCAGTCGCAACCCACCCCGTGACGGAGATCAGGGGTTCCCAACTGTTTGGAAAGCGATTGAAGAACAGCGCACGGCCACACGTAACATCGAACGATAGTTGGCAGAGGTGACTGAGCAACTACAAACCTTGTTACGAGAGGTTGTCCCACGGAACCGGGAAAATCACAGCAAATCGAAGGAGACAACCACGACCGACCACCCGTCGCTACTGCGTCCCGACGTCCAGTTCTTGACGACGATAGTGATGATGATTTCGAATTTGGTGGTGCTCCAGTTCTTCCCGGCAATGACAGAAACGACAGAAATTGGCACAATCAAGGTAATTTCAATCCCCGTAGGAATAATGATGAATTTAAACTCAAGGTAGATATTCCTATTTTTAGTGGAGATCTTGGCATAGAGGGACTTCTGGATTGGATCACAGAAGTCGATAGGTTCTTTGATTACATGGAGATACCAGAGGAACGAAGGGTAAAACTGGTAGCTTTCCGATTAAAGGGAGGCGCATCTGTTTGGTGGGAACGGATGAGAGAGACCCGGATGAGAGAAGGAAGGGGTCCTGTTCGAACCTGGAGGTGCATGAAACAATTAATCAGAGGTAGATTTTTACCTTCTGACTATGAACAATATATGTTTGAATCTTATCAGAGATGTGCACAGGGGTTCACGTAGTGTTAATGAATACACATTAGAATTTTTAAGATTAGCAGAAAGAAACCAGTTGTCTGAAAGTGATAACCAGTAGGTAGCCCGTTATCTGAGCGGGTTGAGACCATCCATCAGGGACAAAATTGGTGTACAGATGGTTCTCAGTATGCAGGAAGCAAGGAACCTAACCTTGAAAGCAGAATTAATGTTCCAAGACAAGGAACGTAGTGATAATTACCGCCGGTACAGCGAGAGCGACAACAGACCGACAACTGTCGACAAGAACAAATCAGTACCGATAGTGCAACCCTCTCACCCGGCAAGCACAAGTAACGCCGGTAAGGCTACTACAGGAGGACATACTCGAGGTAATCCTTCCAACCCTCCTAAACCCAGTAACCCTTATGCAA